AGGCTGGAATGTGCTGGGAATTGGCTGGCCTTTCACCTCTGTTGGGACTCGGGAAGGGCAGAGAGGTGAGGAGGGGGCCGGCCAGTAAGAAGAGAAGGGCTCGGTGGTCCAGTGAGGTGGAGAATGCCAGGCTGGAGAGAACTGAACTGGTGTCTTTGACTGCTTGCTGCTGCTACTGCTTTTTAATTGAGGGAGTTCCCCGAGCGATGAATAAACTAGAGGGAAGCACGGATCTCAAAGAAGGACACAGAGCAAGCAACACTACCTGAACTTGGTTGTTCCTGAAACACAGTTTGGGGTCACAGCTGCACAGGGTTTAAAGCAAGGCAAGGGCAGGATTGTATTTCCTTTAGGATGAAGGGACGGGGTGTGAGACTCAGGGCAAGTAAACAGCATGGAATGAGTGAGATGGGCGAGAAGTCCAGGCAGCCCCGGTCTGCCCTCCCACCCTCCCACCCCCACCTCTGTCACGAGAGCGGCTCTGTCCCCAACCCCTGAGTCCCTATGGGTCAACAGTCCTGAGAAGGACACCTCCTGACACATGGTCCAGGCCCCTCTCACTCACCCCTGTCCCCTCTGGCTACACCCTCTTCATCAGGACAAATACTGGATATTTCTTACCAGGGCTAGACTCATATTCCACATTCTTCTGAGGGAGGAAAAGCCCTGGCCATAGCCACACCCACCCGAGTCCTCAGGCCAGTTGTCCCTTTGGTATTCCCTCTGACCTTCCCAGCTGCTTGAAGCGTCCCTGCAATGACAGCTTACCTGCAATGATGGCGATGTCCATCACGGTGAAGGCTATCAATGGGCTGAGCTCTGGGAACAGAAGAGAAGAGGCTTAGGTGAGGGAAGGAGGCTCTCCAAACCTGGCAGCACTTCGGCCAAATCTGCACTCTCTGCTGTCATGTGAGCTGCTCTGTGAACAGGCCCAGGTGAACAGGAATGGCATGGGGCATAGACCTCTGGCCAGGTACACAGACCTGAACCCAGGCTCTGCTTGGCCACCGATGACATGAGAGCGTGGTGCAAAACACCAGGTCACCCCAGCATCGTGTGAGCTCCCTGCCGTATCCCTGCACTATGGCTGGTACCTGCACCTTCTGCTCACATGTGAGCAGCTCTGTGAATATGCCCAGGTGATGGTGCAAAACACCAGGTCACCCCAGCATCGTGTGAGCTCCCTGCCGTATCCCTGTACTATGGCTGGTACCTGCACCTTCTGCTCACATGTGAGCAGCTCTGTGAATATGCCCAGGTGGACAGGTGTGGTGTGGTGCACACATAGACCTCCGGCCAGATGCACAGGTCCAGACTCTGCTGATGCATGAGCTGGAGAGCACCGTGCATGTCCCCAGATCACTCCAGGACCATGTGAGCTCCTTGCTGTGTCTCTGTGCTGAGGCTGGTGCCTACACCAGGCAGATGCTCAGTAGGTGTCTGTGGTGTGTATGAAGGCGTGTACTGTTGAGTTTAACACAGACCATTTGAGGAGTGTCCGCTCATACCAGGTGTAGGTTTGGTTGCCTTCCGTCAGCTACATCATGTGGTCTTCATAGCAGTACTGTGAGTTGCCTGGTGTTATTAGCCCATTTCACGGGTAGGACACTGAGGCTTAGAGATGTGACAGGCACACATCACACAGCTTATCCAATGGTGGGTAGGGACCCAGCCTCTGCTCTTGCCTCTGGAGTGCACTTTCTGTCTTTCTTTTAGAAGCACCTTCCAGGGCTCTTGTCTGGGGATTCCTCCCTGAGAACCATCCATAGGTCTTTGTATCGACCCTCCTGTGGGACGGGCCATCCTGTGATGCTATGCAAATTACTGAGTATTTTTCCGCTGCTCAATGATCTGGCCAGAGGGCTAGAAACTCAAGGACAGCTGGGACCTGTACATTACCTTGAGTGGCTCCACAGAATGTCTCCTTTCCTCTGGGAGATGAGTGAGAAGGATTTATTATACCATGGAAATATCAGTGTTAACATGGAAGTCCCATGTTCCTGTTACAATGACCACGCATATTAAAACAGAGAAGGATGTTTCATAATAGTCATTTCCACTCAGATAATCACTTTAATTATAGTGCTATGAGGTCATTCTCTCCAGTGTAGCTGCCAGATGCCTCTTTCTGATAAGAAACCGGTTGCTGGTGTCTGGAGGGCTGGTGGAGGGGGGTGGGGAGAGACGGACTCCACGCTGGAGGCCGGCAGCAGGGGAGCAGGAGAGCCAGGCCGGGGGTCTGGGGCCAGCACGGAGCCTGGAGGTGGAGAAGAGGCTGGAGCAAGGCACCCAGTCAGCAAAGACACAGAGTGGGCACACGCCAGGAGTCCGGGCGGGGAGGGGGCGCAGCGTTGAGAGTGCTTCTCAGTAGCAGGGCCTGAAGCAGGAGGAGCAGCGTGTTCAAGCTGATGCTGGACTCTGCGACCCAGCGTGAGCAAGTGCAGCTGTGATTTAGTATCTAGCACATAGTAGGTGTCAATAAACACTCACTGAATGGATTTAGAGGTGGAGCTCTAGACCTTCTCCAATCACGAAGAACCTCACAACTCGGTAAGAAAGAATAGCACCTTACTCAAATTGACGTGATGGTTAGTTACAGAAGCTTGAATACCCAGAACTGCCCTTAGGAATCTTCCAGGTGAAGACTAGCACTTCTTATGTTAGTTTGTCCAGTGCATCCAGGATTAGAAGGGACTGTGATTGTCTCTTTTAAAAACAAGTAGCAATTGCTTACCCTGTGCCAGGTACTGTTCTCAGCATTTCACATGTTTTAACTCACTCAGTCCCTGCAACAGTCCCATCTGGGGAGAGTTATTATTGTCCCCACTAGACAGATTTTGAAGCTGAATTCCATAAAAGTGCTATTGTTTTCTGGGGGTCATACAGCTGCCATGAGAGTCAGGAGGCAATCAGTCAGTGTGATTAGCCTTGCGGGGTGCTACCCAGTGCAGAGCTGGCTTCCAGATGAGGTAATCGGCTTGGACCATTTTGGGTGCATTTCGTGGCTTGTCTCTAGGGACCCCGTATCCAGATCTCTGTACTGGGATGCTAGATGCCCTTCTGGCAGGCCAGCCAGGCTGTGAGGAAGGTGGGGTCTGAGACCTCCGGGTATCACCAACTGGGCCTCCCAGCAAGGGCTCCCTCTACCTACTGAGGGGCATGGTAGGCAGGAGAGCCCCTCAGTTAACATTGCTCTTTCCAGGTCCCACCCTCCAAGTGTTGTGTGCAGCTGAATTTGCACACGTTGCACAGTGCGATGGTCTCCAGGGATGTGACCATCTTCAGCCCGACACAACTGCCCTGTAGGCCAGAATGGGCACAGAGGAAGAAGTGCAGGCCTACCTGGGAAGGTGAGAGAGGTCCCTGGACCAGCAGCTTCCTGCAAAGCCTGTTAGGAACACAAATTCCTGGGCCTAGCCCAGACCTGATACAGAAACACCAAGGCTGTGACCCAAGAATGGGTGTGATAACAAGGCCTCCAGGGGATTCTCTCAGGGCTGAGAATGGCTGGTGTAAGAGAGGGCTTTTCAGATTGGCCCTTGAGGGATAAATAGGAGTTTGCTGCACAGAGATTAGGCTTTCCAGGCAGAAAGCTCAGTATCCACGTCAGTGTTCACCACAACCTACTTCTCAGATTTCTCCCCAAGTGTCTGCTTGCCATCGTGACAGCAAGGCTCCTGAAGCCAGGCCTGTAGCTCTTGCCTCTGGTGAAGGTGGAGTGAGCACCCTCGACGGCTGAACTCCCTTGAGCTGTTCCTATTCAGCCAGCAGCAGTGATATTGGGCATTTGAAGAAGGCGGGCTGGAGTGAGCTCATATCCTACCCAGGGAGCTGATGGGTTGGTCTGCGATCAGATTAAGGAGTCTGGCATGAAAGTCCATTCCTTGCCGGAGCTGAGGGATAAGTATAAGATTGGGATTAGGATTATTTTGAGCTCAGGAACTAGGATGGGGATGATCTATGGGCAGCCTTGGGGAAGGGTTTATGGTAGAGTAAGGTGTTATTTATGGCCAGGGTTGGGTCTAGGATCAGAAATGGATAACTACCTAGCCCTGTGATTGGATAGGCATGAGAGGATCCATTTTTATGAAGACCCAGGGTGCCGTTTTCCTTTCACAGCTTTCCTCAAGGTCACAAGGTCTCCACCAGACAGGAAGCTCCACAAGTCTAGACACTGCATCTGTCTTGCTCACAGCATTGTCTGGGTGCCTGGCACTGAGTGGCAATTGTTTTATGTTTGAAAGCCTAGCATTATCTGGGGAGCCAAGAACCAACTAAACTGCACCCTTCACTATCCACAACTTTGTGGATCTGGGCAAGGATTTTCTCTCATGGAATCTGCCACTGGCAGCAGCCAAGTGGGTGCTGATTCCACATCTCCTCAGTGAAGTCAGCTGCTCATTCTCTGGTCAAGGACAGCAGTCCCTGGGAGGCAGCAGGGCATACACGTGCTGCCCCACAATGCCAGTGACACTCTGCTTCAGTTGACAGCTTGAGGGCAGCTAGTGGGGTACAAGACCTCAGCTACAGCTGGGTCCTTGGGGCCAGTGGTGTTTCTCAGATGTGGATGGAGAGCAGTGGTCAGGTACTGGCTCTGGCGATGGAAGTGATGCTCCTCTGTTGCTACCAAGAGCCTCCCTTGTCTTGCGTTTTCAGATGATGCTGTGCTGGGAAGCTCTTTCTTCCTTCAAGGCTGCATCTCTATACCTCCGGCCCATCTCTCCTGGTTTTTCCTCTGTCTTAGGGGTCCCTGAGGGAGCTGTCCACTTCCTGACTTCCATTTCCATCTGGCCCAGCAAAGGAGGAAGAATTCAGGCACCAGGCGAGGACTCAGGGAGTGAGTTCCTTTAGAGTTGAGAGTGAGGATAGCTTCACACAGGAGGCCTGGGTGTTCTGGGAGAGGGGAGACTATTTTAGCCTTAAAATCATGACAGGAAACCCAGGTTTATCACAGGGGCCCTTGGAGAGCAAATTCCTGCAATGACAAACTGTGTTGGTGACATCAACACAGTAGCGGTATCTATTGCTTGATGGTGTGTCAAGGTGGTGCCAGTTATTGAGTATTCAGTTTCAAGGAACCTACAGACCTGGTTGGAGAAGTCACTTTGCCAAGTGCTCTGAGGCAACGTTGGCTTTTGGTGAGTCTAATTTGGGGTTCAGGAGCAGGACAGCTGCTGGGGAAGAAGCCATGGCCTCTGTGGCCATGGAAAGGTCTCCTTGTCCTGTGCTGGGATTTTTTCTTCCTGCTCCAGGTTCCTCCACATCCTTGTGCAAGAGAAGCAGAAATCAGTTGACGATTGAAGTTCATTAACTGACTTTTCTTTCTGGTGGGAAAGGTCAAATACATTTACTTTTCCTTGATGATTTGCAATTATTGCTCTGTGAAAGGATGTAGCATTCAGGCTCTAGGTCTCAGAATATAAGTGCCCCAGAGAAATAAATGAATGGTTTATTACCCATCCATCCATTTTTCCTGGAAGTCAGCCAGTGTCAGCTGAGCCGTTAGCATTTACCCAGCCCAAGGCTTAAAGGGAAGAGGGGAAGTTGGCATCTGTCCCTAGGACTTAGGTGAAGTTAGATGCTGACACTCTCTATACAAAGTATGACTATAAGTGGTAAAGAGGTGCCGGGAATGTTGTGGAGGGGCTCAGCCACCAGACGCAGCCCCAGGACAGTGAGCGCTCATCTCATGTTGGTGCTCCTGCATTCCTTCCTTCAGCACACCTTTCTAGCACCTACTATGTTCTAGCAATATGCTCTGTAGTTAAGGCCAGGCCCTGCTGTCAGAAGTGTAACTGGTGGAGACAAATGCATCTGAA